GACCCCCCCTTTTCATGCGGAGCTGGGGGGGGGGGGGGGTTCGACACGGCAGTGACCCCCCCCGGCTTTCCGGAGGGGGGGGGGGGGGGGGTTCGAACCGGCAGTGACCCCCCCGGCGGTTTTTTCCGCCAGCAGCGGTAGAACACGCTCTTTCGGTGATGACGAAGATGTCGTTGATGATGATGATGTTGCGAATGATGAGGGTGATGGTGCCCAGGTGATGGTGATGATGTTGCTAATGTCGTGCCTCGCAGAAGGAGGCCGACGCTCAACGTGCTCGGGGCCGTCAGCTTTGCAAGATGCTTCGAAAATTACCGATGAATTTAGATCAGCTTCTGAATTGACGCGATTATTGGGCGAAGCTCTCCCCGTGCCCGCATGGCCGAGCACTTCGCCTAGCATAACCTGCTGGTCCAGTGGGGGCGCCGACGGAGGTTCCACTCGAGGCTGCTCCGCTAATGCCGTTAACGTCGATGCGGTTTTACCAGCGTCGGCTTGACCCTCAGTGCGCCGCCTGCCGCGATCCTCGATGGACAGGGGAACGACGTCTCCAGGCGGCGGCTTCGCCCGGTCGTTCTCCCCGCCCCCCCATCATTGACTGCAGTTGCGGCATGCACTACGACAGTAATTAGGGCGCGGCCGACGTTCGCACCCCAGTTCACTTGAAGTGCCAGACAGCTGCTTCTGGGCATGGCTCGTTGGTTATTTTCTTTATTTGCTGTCTCTGTTTTTGGAGGCGTTCATCTTGGGGTTTGTCTGCCGAGCGCGCATTCACGAAAACATGTTGTGCCTCACGGTCTATGTCGCTTACAGTTTGGGTCCTGGTACGCGGTTTCCCTCCCTCGCTCTTGCCCGGAGGGGGCGAGGAGAAGGAACACAGCCTTTTGGGGCCAACTCAGCAGACTAACCGGGGAAGGTGTTGGCGGGGCCGCGCACATGGTGGCCCCGCCCGGCTGCCTTTGCTCATTGTGGCTATATGGAGCGGGGGGATTGTTTTTTTTTTCTTATTTTATTTTCTCTTTTTTCGGTGGAAATTTCGCTGACCGGCAGCATCGAGCGCCCACTCTCTGACTCCTCCAATTGTGCGCCCTCGCACCGGCGGTAACTGAATCGTCGCATCGCCCGGCCCCAAGGAGTGAAAGCGATCGTTGGCGATGTCAATTATCGCGCGCAGCTGCCTCGACGACCGTAGGCCCAGAAGAGCAGGTATATCTGAATATGGTACGATAGGCGCCATGCACACCGCGGGAGTGCCTGCCGACTCGAGCTCCTGCGCTGGCAGTGCTATCGGAAACCTCCCAAACTGCGCACGCTGCTGCCTGCCGTTGCTCGCGCCCTCCACGTTCAGCACCTCTCGCATTGGACGGTGCTGCGTGGGAAGGCCCACTTGGATCCGGTGAGGTTGTCATGGGCTCCAGGATCCACCACTGAACCTTCCCTCTTCGGACCGAGCCTCGTCCTGGCATGCCGCGTGCCACGTTTCTCACGCGCTTCCTTGATGCCGTGCTGCTCGTAGGTCGGAAAAAAGATTTGGGGTGCTCGCTGCGCCGCCGCACCTGACCCTGAAGTCGCTGGTGCTGATGCTGCCGCGCCGGGCATGCCAGCAGCCGAAGACGTCGGAGCCCCCAGAGATAGGGTGGACGTCAGGTCGCGCACAGCCTGGTCACTCATTCGCTCATTGTCCTGATAGTCACCATCATCACGCTCATCATGTCCTCGATGCTCATATTGATCCTTGTGCTTGCCCTTTCCTTTCTTGCCTTTTCCTCGTCCACGTCGGTAACTGTCAGGCTCCGGATCATCTCCGTGTCCGTGACGAGTCGAGTAGCTTCCTGTTGCTGTCGTCGCAGGTCTACTCATACCGCTGAACTGGCGTATTGGTGACGAGCGCGGAACAGATCCTGCCGTACTCGCATCGTCGCCTCCTGCCCAATCCATGGGACTTGATCTCGTCGGAGCCCGATTGGCGCTCGATGTGCCAGTGTACGAACTCCAGGGATTGTCTTCTTCATGAACAGACGCCGCTGACCAATGGCGATTATCGATCTGCTCTCGGTCGTCATGCGCGCGGCTGGTCATGAACATGCTCGTAGGCCTCGCCGCTGACGGTAACTGCACCCCAGCCAGTTAGCCAGACTGTGGAGTATACATATTTCCCACGAAAGACTGCCGAGGTGCTGGAACTCCTGACACAGGTGCCTGAGTGTGATGATGTCCAGTAGCCTGTGGACAGTCCTTAATGAGATGCTGATCCATTCGCATCTGTGGCAACGCATCGTCTGTCCGTCAGGGCCTCGAGGGTTCGCGCGTCGTTTGTCGCCATTCTTACCTTGGAATCCAGCATAGTGCGGAACAGGACGTGACGTTCCAGCATGCTGCTCTTCATAAGAATTGCGATTCCAAGCACTCGCCTTTTCCAGTGCCTTGATACTTGTTCCCGAGTGATGAGCGCCACGTCCTTTCCTTTTCTACATTGATATCGTCGATCATGTCTAGTATATTTCTTGGTGAACGTCCTCCAGCGCCTTCTTGTAACCAGGAAGTCCTGCCATAGCGTCTCGGCGCGCATTGATGAAGGGTCCACATTGCTGAGATAAGCGTCGAGCTCTGCCTTGGGAATCTCGTCGCCGCTCGTACCACTGCTGCTCCAGTCACCATGATCGTAGTCGGCCAGGAACGTGTCTCCGGTCATGCTCTGCTGCATCTGGTACTGGGCGGGGAAGTAGGGCTGCTGCTGCTGCATGGAAGGATATGCCATGGCTGGTGCGCCTCCGAGAGTCAGCGCACCCGTCTGCCACGGGTCTGAGTTCTCCCAGGGGTCGTGATGCGAGCTCGTGCCCATCGTCGTCGGGAAGTAGAAGTTGCCTTGTCCGCGTGCCATCTGAGGTTGGGCTCCCATCGTGTCACCGCCTTGTCCGCCCATCGACGCCGTCGTGGCTATACCGCCGTGCTGGTGAACATGTCCAACTCTCCTGATCAAGGCAACCAACTCATTGAACTGCTGGTCCGTGTCTGGAAGGTTGCCGCGGAAGCCCATCAGTAGATTCACCCATTCGGCCGGCGGAGTACGTAGGCCTGAAAAGAGGATCCATGCAAAGCCACCTGGTCCCAGATCCATCTTGCCATCTGCACCTGCACGAAACCTCAAACTCGTAAACCTGCCGAGCGTGGTGTCAATGTCCTCGCCCGGCATCCTCCTGAAACTCATGAGCTCGGCAGTCGACGATGTGGATGTCTCCACATCCAGAGGCGCGAACTGCCGGTGCATTCCTCGTAATATGATAGCCAACCCTGTGCCCTGCCTCAATCCCAGCCCATCTCCAAGATCTCTCATGCCACCGTTGCGCACTGTGTCGGGGTCTAGTGTGCCAGCCAGTTCGCGCGCAACTCCTCCAAGCCCAAGAAAAAACTGCCGCATCTTGAGCCTGGTCAGGCAGCTCACATGCCAGGGCCCACCACACCACATTCTTCGACCATTGTTTGAAGGGATAGAACCTTTGCCATCTTCAGTCCCAGGCCGGCGGTACTGTCATCGTGCCCACGATGCTGACCTGATCTGCCGCGCTGCCGAACCCCGCCGCCTGGGCTCCATTCGCATTCATCTGTGGCATCATCGTGATGTCCGTGTCTCAGAAGTGGTCGTGGTGCGTGTCGTCGTAGTCGAAGTCGTAATCGGAGTTGACGCAGTCGTAGATGTCCGTGGAGCACCGCCTGTTGGAGGCGGACGGGAACCGAAGCTCTGCTACCAAGGTCGATTGACCCTGGTAGGCTCGGAGATCAGATGTATACACACACGGATGTTTATCAGAACATGCAAAGAACGAAACGTCTGGACGCGTCCTTGAGTGAAACGGTTGCGGCGGGCGGGCGGGCTATACACACGCGTGCGCACACATATACGTACACACGACATACCTACGTATGTATGCTATCTACTGCATTGCGACTGGGGGAGGGTGAAATGGAAACTTCTGGATGATGCGACAGCCTGTAAGACCTAAGTGTGGGCAACTGGTTTCGACATGGTTGGGCCGCGTTAAACCTTTTTCTGAAACACTTGCAAGCAACGCCGGCCAGATCGATGTCATGTCTGGGCCGTCCTCGTGTTTGTTGTATTTCGTTCTGGGCACGTGTCAAGTCGAAAGCATCGGCGAGCCCGTCAGCACCGACGCCGCACTCCCAGACATCTTCCTCTTGAGCGGCTGGGGAAGTCGCCACGTCCCCCAAGAGGCCATGCGCAAAATGCGACCTGGTCTGAACCAGAATGCAAAGCAAGGCGGTTGCCGAAACCATGTGCTGTCTTGCGACAGTGACGACGAACGACGACGACAACGGCGGACGACGACGACGACGACGGCGGACGACGACGACGAACGACGACAACGGCGGACGACGACGAACGACGACGACGACGACGACGAAGGACGACGACGACGACGGAGACGGACGACGACCCATGACGACGACGACGACAATAACGGAAAGACAACGGACGCCGACGACGAACGACGACGACGACCACGAACGACGACGACGATGACGACGCACGACGACGACGCCCACGACAACGAAGCCGAGGACGACAGTCGTGTAGGGGCGGCGCTCTGTATCGAGGGTGTGGATCCAATGGCGACGTGTAAAATTGTGGCCGAACGCCGACTCCCCATCCTCAATATATACATGTGATACATGTGAGTTAGGCGCGATCCACGCACGCATTTACATGCACCGTGTGGATTCGCCCATGCATGCCTACACGCATACACGATTCCCCGACACAAATAGAATGTGCAATGTAATTCGGACAATGCGCGCACTGCCCTGTCAATAGCGCAGAGAAGCACAGCACGGGATGGCCCCTGACTTTTGGGCGCGGGGTGCGCCCCGCGATGCTCTTTCTCCAAAAAACCCAAAAAGTAACTTTAACGTTACTCTGGTGCTACATGAACGGATCTATGCACGTAGACCTTGTGAGATCCCATGAACATCAGAACCTTGGCCTCGGGATAAGCCCGACAGGGAAGCGAGTGGCTTCCGCGGGCATGAGGCCGCGGCAGAGGAAGGCGGCCCGGACGCACTGCACGCAACGATCGGCGAACTGCTGCGTCAATCCGGCCGACGCGCGCTCAGCCCGCCGCGCCGGACAGGCGAAGAAGCGGTGGACCTCATCCGCGTTCGGCGTCCCGCAGCGGTCGCACCTGCCGTCGGATCGGCCCTGCCGGGCAGTTCGCGCTGGGGTGCTGGTTGCGCTGGTGAGCACGCACCGCAGGGCGCCTGCCTCGCACGGCTCAGCTGTCTTCAGCAGGCGCTATGCGACGGTCAGGTCGGCCCCCTGCTCGACGCCGGCTGTGTCTCGCGGCCGCTCCTGCGCAGCTTGCCTCCAGAATGTGCGCCGGGCTGCCTCCGCCGCATCCCTGGCTATGCGCTCCGTGGGCTTGGCTGTCAGGGCGAGTGAAGCACCGTCTGCAAGCCGCCACAGGGCGGGCCCCTCCGGCCACCACCCCAGGTCGCACACAGCCTGCACGACGGCCGCCACGAGGCCGCGCACCCACGAGGACGTCAGCCGACCCTGGTGGCACCTCGCAGCCGCGGCCCGCCACACCGCGGCGCGACCACTGGCGGATCAAGGAGGATCGCCCACGCAGCGTTCAGCTTGCTGCGCGGCGGGCCCCCCAGGCGCAGCAGGCGACGCGCGCGGCGCTGCGCTTTGGCCACGCGGCTGCGTTGGATACCGACCTCTCGCAGGGCGGCGGCAGTGGCATCCACGCCCAGGTCCTTGGCGGCCTCGGACAACTTAAACTTGGTGCCCTCCAGAGGCCTGCGGAGGGCACGTCTGGCGGCCTTCGAAGTTGCGAGTACCCGTGGAGGAGGAGGAGGAGGAGGAGGAGGAGGAGGAACATTGACAAAGAGGTGAAGGCGCTTAGGGGATGCGTGACCGATAATAGCCACGGCTAGGGAATGAACAAATACTGTATCCTAAAACAGGGCTAGGATCGGGATCAATCGCTCCAGAGCGTTCCGGAGCGCTCTCAGAGCGTTCCGGAACGCTCTGGAGCGGCCGCGGCGCCCAATACATCCTCCAAACCCGCCGATTCTCAGAGACTTCGAGTTATCCCGATCCGATGTTGTCCCGATCTTCGCGTCGTTTCGTGCCCCTGCGAAGGCGGAAAAGGTGGAGCAGAGGGAACTGCTCGACGGCCCGCCCACGGGGGACGGCACGCGGGGGGCGGCCTCCTCAGAGAGGGGCGGCCTCCCTGGCGAGCCGCCCGTGGCCTCCAGAGACGGCCCCAAAGGGCTTCTCGGAAGCCAGGTCTCAAACACGGGCGTTCTCCCTCGACTTTGGCCTCCGAGGCCGGCTCGCGGGCCCCGCGACTAGAAAGAATGGTTCCGGGGCGAATCGCTACTCCGAGAACAAAAACAGTCGGGGCCTCTGCAGCTGCGGATCAAACAAGCAGTACATCTGCAGGCGCCAGGCAAGGCGGGAGGGCTTCTGAACGCCCCGCCGCCTTCCGGGAAGGCCGGCCTCATTTGCCTTCCCCCCCGCGGGCGCGCCGCGGAACTGCAGCAAGAAGGGGGAAGAACCGCCCGATGATGCGACCCTGGCAAATGATCTTGACCAGCCGCCCGAGCCAAGCCGCGGCCCCCGACCCCCCCTCGACGCAGAGAGCAGGCGCTTTGAGGCCAGTCGGCAGCGGACCTGTGGTGCCAGCACTGCTGGCCGTGAGGGCCCTGACAGCGGCTGTTTGAAATTGCCACATCCAGGAAAGCGGCAGAAGGACAGCGAGAACGACCGAAAGCGAGAGAGGGAGATATGACTAGACACATGTTCTGATGGATAGTGTCACCTGGAGTGCACACGTAGACCAGCGTGGATCCCAAACGGCATGTCCACGCAATGTGGATGCGCAAGATATGTGGTGCAAGTTCTCTTGTGTATGTGGTACAATATGTGTGATGTGCGCTGCGTGGTGCAGTTCACTAAGACAACGACGACTTGTGATCTCCACTGCTTGCGAAATCATCCCACACTCCAACACGTGACATGATCTGCAAAACCCATGTGGCCACGATTGCGGTGGCTGCTTGGCACTGGCTGGCGCATATGTCCGGCCGTGCTGGCGCGCGCACCCTCGCGCGCAGAGCGGCCAGCTGTGTTGGCACATGCGATGCGGTCGCCATGGCGCTTACTGATGAGAACTGACCAGGCTGTCTCAAAGGCCGCGCTGGCGCGCGGGCACTTCAGTGCGGTTGGGTGGCTCGGGCGTGCCGAGATCATGATGACGTCGACACGGCGGCAAACATGATGGGAGCGCAGGTGGTGGCGATGATGGCAATGACGACGACCAGACCGATGACGGCGCAGATGCTGGTGATGACGACGAAGATGACGACGACGATAACGATGAAGATGATGGTGAAGATGATGCTGATGACGATGACGATGATGATGACGATGACGATGATGATGATGATGATGATGATAATAATGATAATGAGAATGATAATGATGATAACGATAATGGCGGCAATGTATAACATTGTTAGGATGATGACGGTGATGCGATGGTGCAGAAGGTGGTGATAAGAACTTAAGCACGCACTGACCTTCAAGATATCTGGCATACTGTGTACTGGAAAGCATTCAAATTCCACGCATGTTTACAGAACTCTATCTTGACACGCTTAGAGCACCATTGGATATGGAAGGGCTTCGGGTGTCGGCGCGCGCATGTGGCCCGCATTGAATTATTGCATACGGTTTCGTGCACTGGTCGCATGCTAGATCAACGTGGACGCACCGCGTGGTTCTGAACGAAACAATAAAGCCGATTGGTTCCCCAGTGATTTCAGCAAGTGCGCGCGGGCATCTAATCTGCAAGCCGTTGCTGAAGCGCCTTCAGTTTGTTACTGCTTTTAGATTGAAATGCGTGCAGATCACTATGCTTGCCATGACTTCGACATGTGCGCACACGTGTGGACTTTGTGGACGCGTTGCATCCGTGAGCCATCAGACTCTTTGCAATAATCGAATGCGCGCTTACTGTACCCATGGCTTGATTATGGCTACACGCGGAAACAGAGCGATGAGGCAGGATCGCATTCAAGCTGCAATATCCCAGAAAGGGGGACCGATAATCCCGGGCCTCGGGAGCGGGTTGCAGTGAATTGTTCTTGAGGGGTGAGGAACTCGGATGCCCGCGGCGCAGGCTATCGGGGCGCCCACGAAGCACCAACCAGCGGGCATCAGGCGAAACCTCGTCAGAACCCCCCGGCGCGGGGTGCCCGCGAGGCGCCCACGGGCGAGCACCGGGGAAAATGAAGGGGCCCAAGGACACACAAATAAATACACACAAATAAACAGATTCCCCATATTTCCCTATATTTTCTGGGTTTCTGTCTCCCCCCCCACTTCCCATATTTTCCCATATTTTCTGGGGAATCGAGGATTAATTGTGTCTGTGTGTTTTTTTCCCCCTCCTGAGAAAACCTCGGCACAACCCCCCCCAGGAGGCGCCCACGGGCGGGCACCGAGCGAGCCCTCGGCACACGCCCCCAGGCGCGGGGCGCCCAGGAGGCGTCCCCCGGCGGGCACCGGCCGAAGACCCGGGGATTACCCAACCAATTACGAAAGAACAGCAAGTAAGAACCCTTGAGTGTGGTCCAGATTTCGTAATAATGAACACTGAGCCTCTGGGACCCAACCTCCAAGACGAGCCATTTCAGACCTCCCCCGTGGGAGAACCCTCCAAAACATCGTCCCCAGACCCCCCCAGGCCCTCCAAGATAGCTTGGAAAAGACCCCCCCCCGAAATGAGACCCCCCTCCCTTTATTACGAAATCTGGAGTAAACACTGCTCGGGAAATCATAGGCGGACGGGGGCCCCCCAATGCGAAATCGGTTTCAGTTTCGTGTTCGTCTCGCGCGTGCGGGCGAGGCGAAGCTGAGCGTGCGGGCGAGAGGCAGGAGCCCGCCGTTGCTAGGGCGGAACAAGATTCAGTGATTCCCCTCCCCTCATTGGCCGGCGGTGGCTCGAGGGAGTCCCGCCGGTGTCCCGCCGGTGTCCTGTGGTTTCCCGCGAGGTCTACTGCAAGATCATTAGTGAGATGGATAGTGTGGTCGATTGACAAATTCATAGTCAGATCGAAGATGAGGCCGACTGTGAGATCGACAGATAGAGGGAGATCGATAGCTAGATAGAGAGTAAGATCGAGCCAAGTGCTCAGCAGTGCCCAACTAGTTTCGGCCGAATCCGATATGCCCCCCATCGCGCACCGAAAGCTAAACTCCACCCCCACAACCTCCTTATCACCCCAAGTGTGGTCATATAAGTATAGATATACATGTGTGTGTCGGCTTTCGGAAACCTTCGATCTGACACAATGTCATATTTTGGGACGCAGCGTGTACTTCCGCCGGCTTCCGCCGGCGGAGGCGCCCTCGTTTTGATTCCGCTGGCTTCCGCCGATCTTCCGCCGCCTTTAGCCGAGGAAGAACTGACAACTCCTTCGATCCTCGACGGCGAGGCCTCTTCTGGAGCGCCTCATCTACACAGTGATGGAGAAAGAGAGAGGGAGAGACAGAGAAAGAGAAAGAGAGAGTGAGAGAGAGAGAGAGCGCGAGAGGGAGAGAGACAGAGGCAGAAACCACCAAGCAAAGGAGCAACGTAGAACACATACGTCGGTTGCGCAAGGTGACACGGAACCCGCCTCGTACATGTGGGGGGGAGGTCCAGGCCGCCTGCGTTGGGTGTCCAGCAGGGCCCAAGACCCCACACTGACCGGCAACGATAGGGGGGGAACGGGCTCGAGGGGAAGGATCATCGAGCCAGAATCGGCGATCCAGTGCTGATCAATCGGGGAACCCGCACGTTACTGGGAGGGGTGGGCGTTGAGGCTCCTATCGGCGACGGATTGGAGATTGGGGGTCGATGCGTTTCCCCATGAACCCTACCCTCCGCCTAACGTTAGGATGTGGAGTACTCCAGATTTCGTAATAAAGGGAGGGGGGTCTCATTTCGGGGGGGGGGTCTCTTCCAGGCTATCTTGGAGGGCCTGGGGGGTCTGGGGACGATGTTTTGGAGGGTTCTCCCACGGGGGAGGTCTGAAATGGCTTGTCTTGGAGGGTCCAGACCCCCTCCCTTTTATTACGAAATCTGCAGTAGCCTCCTCTCGCGGCGCCTCACACGGCGCTGTGCTGTCAGATACGCCGGTGGTGTGCTGCACTGCTCTTTTGCACCTTTGGGCCCGTCGAGTGCTCGACGGCCAGTGGAGCCTGCCTCGCACGCCGAGCTGACGATGCATGCGGTCGGAGCCAGCCGTTGCGGCACGATGGTGCGCGGGGAGGAGGGGCGACCGGCGGACAAATCTTGGAGGAGGAGGAGGAGGAGGAAGAGGGAAGGAAGAGGAGGAGGAGGAAGAGGGAAGAGGAGGAGGAGGAGAGGAGGAGGAGGAGGAGAAGGAGGAAGAGTATGGAGTCCCGGACGGCTCTGAACGCGCCCTTCGAAAATCGTTGGAGCATTGCGTGCCACCATGACAGCCTGGAAGGTCGCCGCTGGGCCATGCTCGAGAATGCCAAGGCCAAGCTGGCCAAAACTCTTCCTGGTGGCGACTCGTGTTTGGAGCGGCGGGGAACCTCCTTTTTGTAAGACTTGAGGTGGGCCTGCCGGGAAACACCAGCTGGAAAAGCAATCACATCGACCTGGGTCCGTCAAGGGGGCGCCCTTTGCCACCTGCGCGTCGAAAGCATTCCGGGACCTCATCAGTGTTGGGTCTGGCATCCCCAAGTCTCCTCATCCAACTGCTTCAACTCCTCCTCCTCCTCCTCATCTTCATCCTCATCCTCCCTACTCCTCCTCCCTCCTCCTCCTCCTCCTCCTCCTCCTCCTCCTCCTCCTCCTCCTCCCCTATCCTCCCCCTCTCATTCCCCCTCCTCCCGTTTTCCCAATCCCCCTCTTCCTCAATCTTCGCCCCCCTCCTCCTATCCTCCCCCTCCATCTCATCACCTCCTCCCTTCGCCACCTCCTCCTCCTCTTCCTCCTCCTCCTTCTCCTCCTCCTCCTCCTCTTCTCCTCTCCTGTTCCTCGTCCTCTTCTGGACCAAGATGTCTAGCGCTTCTGCTCTGCGGATTGATTGTGTTCTTGCCAGCGCAAGAACATTTGACCGGGCTACCGACTTCCGCCCCACATGGCACGGGGTACGTTTGTGGTGAAAACTGGCCCTTGCACATATTGTGAACTCTGCGGGTCGCGCACTCTGAGATAAAGGTATCAGACTTGTCACGCCAGTGCTGGCGCACGCAGAACGGCATCTCGAGCAGGCCGCGATCGATCGGGGCGTCAGCTCGATTGGCTTGATCCCATGCGCAATGCGTTATTGAGACATGTCGTTTCAGTCACCCTCCGACTCTATCAGGAGCTAATGGATTCAATGGCGGTGGATCCCCCTCTGCCGCGCCCTCTTCCCCATCATTTAACATTGTCTGTACGTATGGGATCTGTGGATCCTGGTATATGTGCCTACTTCTGCCGCCAGATTCGCATTGCCAGCCGCACAGCGGTGATGACGTGATGCTGTCTGTTGTGCGGTGCTGCTGCTGACGCGAATGATTCCGAGGACGAGAACCGAGTCCTGGCCGCGTAACCAATTCGTGGTGCTTGCCCTTGCGTTTCAGCCCTGTCTCTTCTCTCCTCGGACCTGCCTCTCTGGAGGCAGGCCATTCCAGCTTTCAG